TGGAAAACTGCAAGAGAAGGAAGACCAACCTGAATGTGGCATGGATTGACTACAAAAAGGCATTTGACTCTCTGCCACATGATTGGATAATAAAGTGCCTAGAAATAACAGGAGTCAGTAGAAACATCAGAAAATTTGTGCAAAGATCGATGGCACAATGGAAGACACAGTTGCAGATCAATGGTGAGAGGCTGGGAGAGGTTAATATCAAGAGAGGAATATTTCAAGGAGATTCATTATCACCATTACTATTTGTTATTGCACTGTTTCCTCTGTCAACAATACTGAATAACTCAGGACATGGCTATCAAACATCAAAAACATCTGCCAGACTATCCCACCTCCTTTATATGGATGATCTGAAGCTGTATGGAAAAACATCATCTGAAATAGAATCGCTGCTCAACACTGTCCGTATATATAGCCAAGATATTGTAATGGAGTTTGGCTTGGACAAATGTGCCACACTTACTATCAAACAAGGAAAAATATGAAAACTGAAGGAATCAAGATGCCCCACGAAAATAACATCAAGAGTCTGGATGAGGAAGAGTACTACAAATACTTGGGTATCCTTCAAGCTGACAACATCAAGCACACTGAAGTCAAGAAAAAGATTAGAGGTGAATACATCAAGAGAGTGAAGAAGATCTTAAAATCCAAACTCAATGGAGGAAATACCATAAAGGCAATCAACACCTGGGCAATCCCAGTCATTAGGTACACAGCTGGAATAGTGGACTGGACTCAAGCAGAACTAAAAGCAATGGATAGGCAGACCAGAAAAATAATGACAATGAATCATGCCCTTCATCCACGCAGTGACATTGATAGACTTTATCTACCAAGGCAAATAGGTGGGCGTGGAATGCTACAAGTACATCAGATGGTTGAAGAAGAAAAAATGGCTTTGGAAGAATATCTGAAGAACAATGATGAAGATGCACTGAAATTAGTATATCAGGAAGGCTTACTAACTACTGGAGAGACCAAACTGGCCTACAAGAAAGACCAAATGAAGAACAGAATAGAGGCATGGGAAGACAAAGCACTACATGGCCAATACATGAAAAAAATAGCTGGGAAAGCAGATAATAATAAAACCTGGCAATGGCTAAGAGCAGGAAAATTGAAGAAAGAGACCGAGGGACTAATTCTGGCTGCACAAGACCAAGCCTTAAGGACAAATGCATACAAAGTCAAAATTGAGAAGACAGCAACAGACAGTAAGTGCCGCCTATGCAAAGAAGCTGAAGAAACAGTGGACCACTTGGTAAGCTGTTGCAAGAAGATTGCACAGACTGATTACAAGCAGCGGCATGACAAAGTAGCAACAATGGTGCATTGGAAGATCTGCAAAAAATATCATTTGCCTGTAAGCAAAAACTGGTGGGATCATAAAATAGAGAAAGTCATAGAAAATGATAAAATTAAACTGCTCTGGGACTTCAGAATTCAAACAGACAAGCACCTGCAACATAACACCCCAGACTTAACAATTGTCGATAAGAAAGACAAAAAAGTCTGGATAGTGGACGTGGCAGTGCCTGGAGATAGCAGAATAGAAGAGAAAGAACTGGAGAAGATAACAAAATACAAAGACCTACAAATAGAAATAGAAAGACTGTGGCAAAAGCAAGCAAGGGTAGTACCAATAGTAATAGGCTCCTTGGGTGCAATCCCAAAACAACTGGAGCACCACTTGAACACCATTGGCATTGACAAATTCGCTATTAGTCAATTGCAAAAGGCGGCCTTATTAGGAACTGCTTCCATCCTGCGACGATATCTGTAATACCATCAAACATCCACATCTGCCTATCCCAGGTCCTGGGTAAGGACTCGATAGGTAGACAAAATGCCAAATCCAGTCTGAACATCTGGCTGACTGTGCGATGATCGATAATAATAATATACTACAAGGAGGAGAAATTGAAAAGTGGCTAACAACTGGGAAAACCTACCTAATAATGAAAAATCCAGCAAAAGGGGCAACACCAGGTAACTACAGGCCAATTACCTGCTTACCAACAACTTTCAAATTACTAACTGGTGTGGTAGCTGATGCAGTACAACAGCATCTAGTTGAAAACAATCTCTTTCCACCTGAGCAGAAAGGAAACCGCCCCAATAGCAGAGGAACAAAAGATCAACTCCTAATAGACAAAATGATCTTGGAAAACTGCAAGAGAAGGAAGACCAACCTGAATGTGGCATGGATTGACTACAAAAAGGCATTTGACTCTCTGCCACATGATTGGATAATAAAGTGCCTAGAAATAACAGGAGTCAGTAGAAACATCAGAAAATTTGTGCAAAGATCGATGGCACAATGGAAGACACAGTTGCAGATCAATGGTGAGAGGCTGGGAGAGGTTAATATCAAGAGAGGAATATTTCAAGGAGATTCATTATCACCATTACTATTTGTTATTGCACTGTTTCCTCTGTCAACAATACTGAATAACTCAGGACATGGCTATCAAACATCAAAAACATCTGCCAGACTATCCCACCTCCTTTATATGGATGATCTGAAGCTGTATGGAAAAACATCATCTGAAATAGAATCGCTGCTCAACACTGTCCGTATATATAGCCAAGATATTGTAATGGAGTTTGGCTTGGACAAATGTGCCACACTTACTATCAAACAAGGAAAAATAGTGAAAACTGAAGGAATCAAGATGCCCCACGAAAATAACATTAAGAGTCTGGATGAGGAAGAGTACTACAAATACTTGGGTATCCTTCAAGCTGACAACATCAAGCACACTGAAGTCAAGAAAAAGATTAGAGGTGAATACATCAAGAGAGTGAAGAAGATCTTAAAATCCAAACTCAATGGAGGAAATACCATAAAGGCAATCAACACCTGGGCAATCCCAGTCATTAGGTACACAGCTGGAATAGTGGACTGGACTCAAGCAGAACTAAAAGCAATGGATAGGCAGACCAGAAAAATAATGACAATGAATCATGCCCTTCATCCACGCAGTGACATTGATAGACTTTATCTACCAAGGCAAATAGGTGGGCGTGGAATGCTACAAGTACATCAGATGGTTGAAGAAGAAAAAATGGCTTTGGAAGAATATCTGAAGAACAATGATGAAGATGCACTGAAATTAGTATATCAGGAAGGCTTACTAACTACTGGAGAGACCAAACTGGCCTACAAGAAAGACCAAATGAAGAACAGAATAGAGGCATGGGAAGACAAAGCACTACATGGCCAATACATGAAAAAAATAGCTGGGAAAGCAGATAATAATAAAACCTGGCAATGGCTAAGAGCAGGAAAATTGAAGAAAGAGACCGAGGGACTAATTCTGGCTGCACAAGACCAAGCTTAAGGACAAATGCATACAAAGTCAAAATTGAGAAGACAGCAACAGACAGTAAGTGCCGCCTATGCAAAGAAGCTGAAGAAACAGTGGACCACTTGGTAAGCTGTTGCAAGAAGATTGCACAGACTGATTACAAGCAGCGGCATGACAAAGTAGCAACAATGGTGCATTGGAAGATCTGCAAAAAATATCATTTGCCTGTAAGCAAAAACTGGTGGGATCATAAAATAGAGAAAGTCATAGAAAATGATAAAATTAAACTGCTCTGGGACTTCAGAATTCAAACAGACAAGCACCTGCAACATAACACCCCAGACTTAACAATTGTCGATAAGAAAGACAAAAAAGTCTGGATAGTGGACGTGGCAGTGCCTGGAGATAGCAGAATAGAAGAGAAAGAACTGGAGAAGATAACAAAATACAAAGACCTACAAATAGAAATAGAAAGACTGTGGCAAAAGCAAGCAAGGGTAGTACCAATAGTCATAGGCTCCTTGGGTGCAATCCCAAAACAACTGGAGCACCACTTGAACACCATTGGCATTGACAAATTTGCTATTAGTCAATTGCAAAAGGCGGCCTTATTAGGAACTGCTTCCATCCTGCGACGATACCTGTAATACCATCAAACATCCACATATGCCTTAGGACCAGGTAAATGCCAAATCCAGGCTGAACATCTGGCTGACTGTGCGATGAATGATAAATAATAATAATAATAATAAATAATAATAATAATAATAACTAATAATAATAATTGGAAGAGACCTTGGAGGTCATCTAGTCCAACCCCCTGCTCAGGCAGGAAACCCTACACCATTTTGGACAAATGGCTGTCCAGTCTCTTCTTAAAAACTTCCAGTGTTGGAGCATTTACTGCTTCTGGAGGCAGGCTGTTCCACTGATTAATTGTTCTCACTGTCAGGAAGTTTCTCCTTAGTTCTAGGTTGCTTCTCTCCTTGATTAGTTTCCACCCATTGCTTCTTGTCCTGCCTTCAGGTGCTTTGGAAAATAGCTTGATTCCCTCTTCTTTATGAAGATTCCATTCTTCTGGAGTGTCTTTGTGGGTCAGCGGTAGATATTCTTTGTGTTAATTATGTTGTAGTTTTCTAGGGCGCTTCTGCTGTAATGTTTTAAAATTTTTTATATAATTTTAGTTACTATAAAATGACTGGTAATGTTTTAAGTTTGTATTATGTATATTTTATAATTATACTATTGTGGCTATGCATGAGTGGATTCCTTAGTATATTACAATGTATATAATTAATAACTAAATACATTAAAGTAATATTAGAATGTTATTCTATTAGTATTCCAAATATTTATTTAATTAGTTTTTTAAAATCTAATTCTATTATCAGGAAGGCTTTCAGAATAGCTTAACATATAGTCAATTTAAAAAATGCAGTCTCCCTTCCTAGTGATCATTTAAAAGCACAATTTCAACAGGAAAAGAGAATATATGAAAGGGGAAAGCAGGCACTGATTGTTGTAATAGACTAAGAAGAAAACAGTCTACTCTATATCATTGGTTTTTCTTCAAGGCTGATAGATATGTCTTGCTTTTCATTTTGGATGCAACTGGAGAAAATGGCTCCTGTCCAAGCTTGCATTTCCTAAAGTTATACATATTTTTTTCTTTAACAGAGATCCCAGTCTGCATTTTCACTGACTAATGAAGCTACAGCCCGAGACCCAATTGTCACATCTACAATGTTTGAATCTACCTTGAGGGAAGCAAAAGGCCAAAACAAAAAACAAAAGCACAGACTATCTACATTTCCCAGCTGGAAAAGTGTGGACCAATTAAACGAACCAAATAAAGGCCTGTAATATGTGTATATTTCTTGGCACTGTAAAGAAGAAATAGCTATTTTTCATGATCTTTTAGAATGGAGGAAAGAAGAAGGAGTTGGGCAGATCAACAATCTGCAGACTGAGAATGGTCACTGCTTTGTCATTTTCTTTTTAAAATAGCTACTAAATTTTGAAAACAATGGACAGCATTTCTGTAAAATATTCTAAGGATATAAATTTGGAATATTCAGAATCTCTCTGCTGAACCATTGGAATATATGTTCTGTTATTAACTCATTAACAACAAATAACTTTGTATTATTTATAACCTGTCACGAAATTTGCAAATGCAAAGGCCTGATTCTAATGTAAAGCTGTGATCATTCTTTTCACCAAAATGTATTATTGTTACCAGAGTTAAGCCTTACATAACCCAAGACTAAATTATTTACTTGCTCTTGGCAAGATCTCATTACTTAGATCCTCTGCAGTATCCATTGGCATAAATTCGTCCTCCTGTAGATACTAATACTGAAAGCTGATTCTAGATGAGTTAATCCTCTTCCTGGATGCAGGAAGTTGTATTTGTTTTGTTTTTATTGTTCAGCTATTATTTCTGTATTCTAAAACCTGAAAAAATAATTTATGGTTCTGTTTTGTGAGATAAATGGACTGGCAGTAGTAGTTGATACATGTGTAAACTTAACTAGTTAAGCTATAATAATTTATTTAAAAATTGGAAAAACATTTCAAAAGTTTGGCATGAACAATTAGCTTCTGAAGCATTTTTCAGTGCCTTTAAATTAAGCAACTATTCTTGAGGATAAATAGACTGTGGCTGTTTTATTAAATATATTACACATCTAATGGCATCTGATTGTTCAAACTCTAGAAAAAAATGCTTTCAAAAAGCCATTGTAGTTACATATATTTTATTTATAATTATATGCTGTTTAGAAAAGTATTTTGAGAATCAGTGTTTTCACTGACTCAAAAATAAAATAACTCTGTGTAATTAAATGTGCATACAGGTAGGCCTTGACTTACAACTATAATTGAGCCCAGAATTACAGGTCAGAAACCATGCCAATTGTTAGTGGGTCATCATATGACTAATCCAATTTTATGACATTTATAACATGTGGCAGTCGTTAAATGCATATGGTGATCATAAAACAAATCTGCCTGGATTAATAAAAAAAACAGTAAGATGTTCCTATTATTGCATTGAATAGCCATATAGTGCCAAATTGTTAGACTTTATCATGGTCAACAGTACTAGTTGAATGGAAAGTGCAAGCATGTATAGAAACTTATGTCCCATTTAGATTTAAATGGATTTCTAAAATACACATTGCAACCACTCTTGGATTTCAAAAAATTCTTAATAATATTAATAAATATCAATGTATTTATCATGCTTTTCATCTATCCAATATTATGTGTGTGTTGCAAAACAAAATGTCCATTGTTTTGTAAACCTTTAAAACATTTATTAAAACTCTAGCTCCATTTCAAATTTATCAGATTGAATTGTGATTAATCTTCACAGTACTTTATCTTAATATGTATGATACAAATTCATATGAATTTCATTATTCTCTTGAAATTTATAAGATATAAAGCAACCAACATTTTGCTTTTTGTAGGTAATTGAAAAATACAGCTAGTTAACAATGTGTTTAGATCAATAAAATTCAGTAACAATGATACTGGAGTTTCTTCTTATGTTTCCTTAGATTTTCCTCCTATTTTACAAAGTACAGATGGAAATTGGGTAGCCTTGCAAAATGCCATTTTGCCTTGTCCTCGAATTCTTGCCAAACCTAAGAGCCAAGTGTTCAAAGCTTTGGAGGAAGAATCCAGTGTTGTATCTGCTTATGATGAGATGGGCTCAGATAGCGAAGAGAATGATGACTGGAATGTGACTTTGAACAAGCTAGAGCAGAGGCCTCAGGAGCTTTCAAATTATGTTGAAGCTCAGCACAATGCTGAATGGAGTTGTGGCAATGAATTATACCAGTCTATGACTTCTCCGTCACCTAAGGGGTTTAATATTGAGACAGAATACTCTGATTCAGAAATATCACCTGTCAATTCTTCAAGGGAACCTATAGCATCTAACCTCTCAGGAATACATAAAGAAATTTGTAACAATAAATACAGAGAGGAAAAAGAAGATTTGAACGAAGAATTGGATATGAATTTTAATCCACAGGCTACCACTTTAAACTATTCAGATAGTAGTGAAAATGAAGAAACCTATCATGACTTTGAAAAGACATCAAGGACATGTGAAAAAAGCAGTGTTCTCTCTGAAGATTTATGCAAAAGCAAAAATTGCACAAAACCACCCAGGAACTTGGGTACATATCAGGTAATCAAAGTTTGGTGATCACAACCTGCCAAAAAAAGGGGGGGGGACAGATGGTAAAGTCTTTGCTGTATTTCATAAACAACAGTGATATAAGCCAGTCATGGAAACCTCTACTAATCATCATTGGTCCATTAATTGTATGAATATATGTATGTTGCTAAGGACAATTGTGCAGTGAATAAACTGATTTGATCTGACACTTTGTCACTGAATAGAACTTGGAACTATGTGTTACACAAGCTTCAAGGACAGTGTTTATGCTCATGATTTTTCTGATTCCTGTTAATTGTTTTTCTGCTGAAATTATTTGTTGTGATTCTGTCCTAAATTCACATAGCCAGATTGCTACATTATGAAACCAACTTTGGGAAAGAATATTTTTCTGGAATGTGATAGCCAAAGTTACATGGAAGTAAAAAAGGCCACTTATATAGCTGATTATATAGTAATAGTAATAGTAATAGTAGTAAAGTTGGAAGGGACCTTGGAGGTCATCTAGTCCAACCCCCTGCTCGGGCAGGAAACCCTACGCTATTTCGGACAAATGGCTGTCCAGTCTCTTCTTAAAAACTTCCAGTGTTGGAGCATTTACTGCTTCTGGAGGCAAGCTGTTCCACTGATTAATTGTTCTCACTGTCAGGAAGTTTCTCCTTAGTTCTAGGTTGCTTCTCTCCTTGATTAGTTTCCACCCGTTGCTTCTTGTCCTGCCTTCAGGTGCTTTGGAAAATAGCTTAATTCCCTCTTCTTTATGGCAGCCCCTGAGATATTGGAATACTGCTATCATGTCCCCCCTTGTCCTTCTCTTCGTTAAACTAGACATACCCAATTCTCGCAACCGTTCCTTATATGTTTTAGCCTCCAGTCCCCTAATCATCTTTGTTGCTCTTCTCTGTACTCTTTCTAGAGTCTCAACATCTTTTTTACATCGTGGTGACCAAAACTGGATGCAGTATTCCAAGTGTGGCCTTACCAAGGCATTGAAGAGTGGTATTAATACTTCACGTGATCTTGATTCTATCCCTCTGTTAATGCAGCCTAGCACTGTGTTGGCCTTTTTGGCAGCTGCAGCACACTGCTGGCTCATATTTAAGTGATTGTCTACTAGGACTCCGAGGTCCCTCTCACAGTTACTACTATTGAGCATGGTGCCACCTATGCTGTACTTGTGCATTTGGTTTTTCTTGCCTAAATGTAGAACCTTGCTTTTTTCACCATTGAATTTCATTTTGTTAGTTAGTGCCCAGTGTTCAAGTCTGTCCAGATCCTTCTGTATCTTAAGCCTGTCTTCTGGAGTGTTGGCTATTCCTGCCAGCTTGGTGTCATCTGCAAATTTGATGAGTTCCCCATCTATCCCTTCATCCAAATCGTTGATGAAGATGTTGAAGAGTACTGGGCCCAGAACAGAGCCCTGGGGCACCCCACTACACACTTCCCTCCATATAGATGCAGTTCCATTGAGGACCACTCGCTGAGTACGGCCGGTCAGCCAGCTACGGATCCATCTGGTGGTGGTTCTGTCTACCCCACATTTTTCTATCTTGTCAAGTAGTAGGTTGTGATCTACTTTATCAAATGCCTTACTGAAGTCCAAGTAAATTATGTCCACAGCATTCCTCTGATCCACTAATTTTGTCACTTGGTCAAAGAATGCAATAAGATTTGTCTGGCATGATCTATTTTTGACAAACCCATGTTGGCTTTTAGTAATGACTTTGTTTGCCTCTAGGTGTTCGTTGATTCGTTGTTTGATTATCTTTTCCAGGATCTTCCCAGGTATTGAGGTCAGGCTGATAGGTCTGTAATTTCCTGGATCCATTTTTTTTCCTTTTTTGAGGATGGGAACTACATCAGCTCTTTTCCAGTCCTCTGGTAGTTCCCCTGTGTTCCAGGATCTTTGAAAAATATAGTTCAGTAGCATATAGAATATGACTAGAGCTATATTTGGACAATTTATAAAAAATAATCAGCTACATTTTAGTCTGCCATGTTGTTTCTCATGTCTCAATTAAATTTCAGTGCAAATATCTGTAGGAAACTGCTCTTGCAGACTTTTTTCTGTTGATCACCAACTGAAGGAGAATTAATGAGGTTTACCATTGCCTTCTCCAATGCATATTAATTGTTGCCTTTGCTATTGTCATGAAAATTATCATCCATTTCCAGCATCTTCCTGTATAGAATATTTGTAGCTCAGGATTGTAAGAAAAGAAAAGTAATATTCTTATGTAAATAGATTAATTTTCCTTGACAAGATTTGCTTCAATTTTTTTGTCTGACTTGATCATTATTTATTTTCCCTTTACTTACATCCTGCCAATAGAAAAAATGATTAATTTCCTGTCCAGCTTACTTTGTACTTTGTACTTATGTTACTTCTCAGCGGCAAGACTTAAAAATGTTTCCTATCCCATTTTTATAATCTGAAAACCCTACATGTAACATACATATAACTAAATATCTAGAACAGATAATCTTCTACTCATGACCATTCAAAATTAAGATGGTGTTGAATGAATAGACTTAGGACCGCTGCCCAGAATTCCAACTGTTGTAGCACCATCGCAGTCATTGTTACAATAATGGGAATGCTGCAACTCTTCCTCACACTGTGGGCTTGGAGCCTCCACCAGCTAGGTCCACTGACACATGGAAACTTGTCACCTGTTGAAGGCTTTAACTGACTAGGCTCATCAGCACCTCCTTCCTCTCCCTTTACTCCCAAGTGGCCTGGTCTTCTTCCTTCCCCCCACAAGCCTTGAAAGTTTCAATTGGCTAGATCCACTTTTCTGTGAAAACCTGCCATCTACCAGAAGGCTTCAGCCAGCTAGACACAGCTTCCTACCATCTCTCCTGAAAAGTCTGACTATCTTTCTCCTCCACCACCATCCCAAGAAACTGGGCTTCTTCTTCCCTTCTCACTGGCCTCCTCCCTTTCTTCTCATCACCAGCCTTCTCTTTGCCCCACCATGCCTGGGTCCACTTTCTCTGCAACTGTTACAAGCATGCCAATCTGATGTGAGGCTCAGCTATAAACCTAGTGAAGGCTAGAAAAACAATATTTCTCAAGGCTGATGAACAAGAAAAGCCAGAAAAATAATCTTATTGTAATAAAAATCTTAATAAAATGTTTGTGTTCTGTCTTTATGAATTGGATATGAAAGATATCATAATGATCTTAAAAGCTAAATTGCAAAATCAAACCTGGGGCTGAGATTATTTTAAGGTTTAGAAAATTGAACGTATGCTATTTGATACTGAAAGTAATTTTTTGCTTATATATTTATTATGTTGCAATTATTACAACACTACTGCATCGCTCTTGTGTCATATAATACTTCTTTATAAGTATTTTACAGATACACTACATATCTCACTATTTGCTTTTTGAGATATATTGATTTAATTCTTTTCTTTTTGTTTTTAATTATTTAAGGTTTTTCATGATTTATCAAAAATTAACATCAGCTCTGACGACCAACATCAACAAAGTAAAGTATTCTCTATGGAAGAAAGGATGAAGGCAAGGTTATCTGAATTATCAATAAAAATGAAAAATAGTAGAGAAACTTCAGAGGAAGAGACATCAGAATTAAGAACAGCAAATGAGAACCAGAAATCAGGCTTAGCTTCAGAAAGCAATAGCAAATGCCTCCAAGAAGAGTTTAAAAAGGTAGATAATACTTTTTGTCTGTTTAAGTTAGCAAATAGCATCTAAGAAACAGTTCTTTAGGGTGGATCCTTTTCTATCTTATTCGTTGAGGAATTGAGATGTGGGAGCCAGATGCCTTTGAAATGAAAACCGATACCTTCCCCACCTGTAAAATCCTTGAACAAGCAGAACATGGCCCATACAATATTTAGCTGCGTTGCTCACAAATTTCAACAACATAATGTGAAACTGTTGGGAACCACATAGTGGCTACTAGAAAAGTATGTGCAGGCCACAGTGTGGCTTTTCCAGTCATCTATCCCTGTCCTTCATTCCCACACTTTGTGCTATTGCTGCTGAAGGGATCCTATAACTTTTTAAAATCATTCTTCCAGAATCTCTTTAATTAGGCCAGATAATTCAGACAGCATTTTGTTATGCGTGTACAACTCACTTCAGAGTTGAATGTGACAAATGTAGGAGATTCCATCTTTTTCTTAGAATTTACTTGGCATAAAATGAAACTTCATATAAATAATAACATGCCAAAAGTTTCCTGGAATCATATTTCTAATGGAATCTATAGGATTATACTATTTCTGCAGAAAGTATACCAAGTATAGCACTCTATTTTTTTCAAAAACAACTTGAGTACGTTTTTTCCTTGAGGAAGAAGATATTCACTTCTCATCCAAAAAGCTTCATCAATTGGATGGTGTGGGGAGAATGGAAGGATTGGTTCTGACACAATGGGGGGGGGGGGAGATAGAAAGATCATATTTCTTTGTAGTCATCTAATCATCTCTCTCTGAGAGATTTAGAGGCCACTTGGGGGTTTATCTGTACCCTCAGGAACAAATGAGTGTGGAATTTTCTTGGATCTGCTGAAAGGACTGTGTTGTAGACAGGAGATATGTAGTAATCATATTTCTCTCTCTATGTTAAGGGAGAGCTGTTCAGTTCTGACAAAGATGGCCATTCCTCCTCTCTTATTGCAGAAAGACATAAAGATCTAAGTCTTAGTAAATAGCTTTCAAGAGCCAGCTTACCTGAAAAAATGGCAATCTGGGTTGGAGACGTCTTTAAATATTGACCAAACTGGCAGTGAGAATACTTTAAAGCATCTTTTTTTTTAATTAACTCAGTAAATGTGAAGGCTATCCCTCTCCCCAGGCCGTCAATACAGTAGAATTGATTTCTTCCTTTAATATTATTGGTATTTTTCATACTAATGGCATTCATAAAAGTAAATGCAATATATGGAAAACTATGTTTTGTTCAGAAGTGTACAGAAATATATTATAATTCAAGCATGATGCCATCCAACTTTTAAAGAGAAAAGGTGACTACCTAAGTTCAATTATCACTATAATATTTGTCAAAAATGAGGAAGGTCTTATTATTTCTAATATGCTGCTTCTACTTTTATTTTCCTTAATCACAGTGATCCATTGTTTTCACAGTTAATCCATATAACACAGAGCTGTTTTTAAAGCAACTTTAAAAATATAACAGTATGCTAACAAGTAATGGTAGCTTCAGCCATGTAGTTATGTCCACTCTCTTGCTCTTTTTAAATGATTCACCCATCATTGTGAAAAACATTTACTTTTTAATGCTCAAAACTTGTTTAATTGTTTTTATTTTATTTATTTATAAACTATATGTTGCCCATCTCACAATGCAAAGTGACTTGGGATAGCATACAATACAATAAAAACCCAAATATAAAAACATTAAAATATTAAAATTAACAGGAATTAAAATTAAAATAAAAGTAGGCATGAGCAATGCTGAGATGGGATCTTCTCTCTTATTCGATCAGCCACTCATTTTTGGATTTTACAGCTAGGTATATCCTCATGTTCCATCCCCATAGTTGTGTCATTGCTGTTGAAAGGAGTTTGCCAAATTTGTTTGCATCATTCTTCCTAAACCTAAACCTCTTTGTTTATGATGAAACAATCCATTTAGGCAGACAGTATCTTGGTATGATTGTGTACCTCACTTCTGTGTGATGAAAAATTTAGGTGATTCCAGAGTACAGTTTTCTGGAAAGCAAGTAACAGGAAACTAATGAAGTTGAAACACATTTTACAATTTGCATTATTATTTTAAATATATATTGTTTTGTTTTTATTGTGCATTATCATTGTAAGAAGACCCTGTAGGTCGTATGGCAAACACAATTGAAGAAAGAATAAATCAAATATTTTAAATATGCAGAGCCCAAATATGCAGAACTCATATGGTATTGATTTGATTGTCAAATATATCTCTCTGAATTCAGTGGTTATCAGTTTTCTTATGCAGATACTATTAAATAATTATGTTTCTTTTTTCGTAATTTCCTTTATGAGAACAAATGTTCAGTAATAATAACAACAATAGCAACAACAACAACAACAACAACAACAACAACAACAACAATAATAATAATAATAATAATAATAATAATAATAATAAAGTTGGAAGGGACCTTGGCGGTCATCGAGTCCAACCTCCTGCTCAGGCAGGAAACCCTACACCATTTTGGACAAATGGCTGTCCAGTCTTAAAAACTTCCAGTGTTGGAGCATTCATCGCTTCTGGAGGCAGGTTGTTCCATTGGTTAATTGTTCTAACTGTCAGGAAGTTTCTCGTTAGTTCTAGGTTGCTTCTCTCCTTGATTAGTTTCCATCAGTTGCTTCTACCTGAATACATACCTGCATGTAATCTCTCTCTCTCTCTCTCCCTCTCCCTCTCTCCCTCTCCCTCTCCCTCTCTCCCTCCCTCTCTCTCTCTCTCTCTCTCTCTCTCTCTCCCTCCCTCTCTCTCTCTCTCTGTGTGTGTGTGTGTGTGTGTGTGTGTGTGTGTGTACACCTGCACATAGGGAGAAAATGGCCAGCATATCCCAGGAACAATATCAGAGCTCTCTGTCCAGAAGAGTGCAGTATTAAGAACCGCTAAGATATTACATAGAACCCTCCAATTTCCAGGCTTCTGGTAGATGATCTGAGATTGAGGAAGATACATTTGACCCATAAAAGTGAGAAGAGATTTTTTAAAATATATTCTAAATTTTCTTATAGCTCACACTCCCCTTTTTCTCCCCCATAACAACCCTGTGAGGTAAGTTAGGCTGAGCCAAATTACAGTGACCTTCCATAGGGAAGAGCAGCCTTGATCTTCTGACTGATAATCCAGTATTTTCTATGACTACTTCACACTGAAGGGATCACTCTGTACAGGATAATATATATATATATATATATATATATATATATATATATATATATATATATATATATATAAAGATTATAGTAAGCAGTAGTTTCCTTTGGGCTTCCTGCCTGCCTGTCTGTTTATAAATCTGTCCATCTATCCTTCCATCCATCCATCCATCCATCCATTCACACATCCAATAGAAAACAATGTAGTTTTTATAAACTAGTATTTTTTCTAGTATCCATTCTTTATCTTTAAAACAGAAGTGTTCTGCAGCCTCTCTCTGCAATATATCTACTGAAGTCCTAAAAGTAATCAATGCAACAGAGGAATTCATTGCAGAATCCATAAAGCCATGTGATTTCCCAGAAGAAACATATGAAAGAGGGAACAGAGAATTCCCATTAGGCACAAACCTTATCAAACTTGATGGGCAGCTCACAATGTTGGAAGAAAATGTAAGAGTGGCAGATAAGTAACTATTTATTTATTTATTTATGAGACTTATATACCGCTTTAAGTGCAAGCACTCTCTAAGCGATGTACACCAGTAAGCAATGTATATATATATTTACATTGCCCCCAACAATCTGGGTCCTCATTTTACCTACCCCCGAAGGATGGAAGGCTGAGTCAACCTTGAGCCGGTAAGATTTGAACCCTGACCTGCTGAACACAGTCAGCTAAAGTGGCCTGCAGTACTGCACTCTAACTGCTGCGCCACCTCAGCTCTATCTATATAACTATCTATATAACTATATCTATATAACTATTCGTGCCATTAAATTTTGTAGAAAATGGGAGCGTTTCATTTGGAATATCAACTAAAATTACTTTAAATAGAGCTGGGAAACTCAAATTTGATCAGAAATAGATTCTCTTTAACTTTTGCCTCATCTACAACTTTTGGTCAAAAATAGATAAGGAATCATGCAATGACTCACAATGATGGAACTCTATCTCTCTATTTCACATCTTATATCAGTTTTAAAAATTAATTTTGTTTGTCTATTTATAAATTGAAAATCGCTCACAAATTATATATCAGATTTATTAATTACTTGGTTCCTGTATAACTTTTCTCCATTAATCCTTTTCCTTTGTTCATGGTTTCCATTGTAACCATTTCACATTAAATCTCTGCTTTATCTTTTATCTATGTAGAAGCTATGTTCTTTGCTTTGTCCTCTTTCTTCATAATATTCTATTCTTGTATTCCAATATTTAGAATTGTCAACATATAAGTGGGAACATTCTTAGGATGATCATCTTTTATACAGCACCTCATTAAGAGTAATTAAGTAATATATAAATACATTGTTTGAGTTGGAAGTTAAAACTGTAATGCTTACAAGATTCCACAAATCTGAAGGTTATAACTCGATAGTTGTACATGGTCTGTTTAGGTCTATCTGGCAGCTGGCAGTGTGTATGGCCTAGAGAGTCAGCTAAATGAACTTGAGGATACAACTCGTAAAATTAACAGCATTACTGCAGAAACTGAACTGGCTGATCTAGAAGACCAAGTGGCAACAGCTGCAGCACAAGTTCATCATGCAGAGCTTCAGGTAATATTAACAACAAGCTATTTACTGCATGGTCTTCATAACTTGCATATGTTTGCTACTTAAACTCCAGATATAAATCCATTGTTTATACATATATATATATATATAAAAGAAAAATGTATGGTTTATATAGGTAAATATTAAGGAGGAATATTAAGAGTCCAAAAAGAAATAGAAACTGGAGTATAAACAATCTAGTTTAAATAGGTGTGATTGCAGTTAAAGATGTACAGTTCAGTAATCTGCACTTCTTCTTCATTTACCTTCATTCTCTTTTAAAAATGTATAGTTCTTTTAAGATTTCAGATATTGAGAGCAGAATTTCAGCCCTTTCAGTAGCAGGCTTGAATGTGGCTCCATATGTTCATTTGACAAGAAGACGTGATCACCAGACAAGTCAGGTGAGGAAAAGTACCCGCCACTAACCACAAACTTGTGAACTAAAGTAGGTTTCCGTATAACTGGCAATCTTGTCCAATCGAATGTATATGAGTCCCCAGTAAAATATACACACAATGTAGAATGGGAAATATATTTCTACTTAGGGCTACTTACCATTCTGCTTATTTAGCACTCTTTTCCTGGGAGAATGCACAGAATATACACAGAAGAAAAACAAGCTAAAGCTGACAAAAAATAATAGAAGGTTATGTAAATTGTAACAACAATATAAATGCAGCTCTAGGTTTTTCAACATATACTTTATTTAAACCAAAATATTTTAAAATTAACATAGCAATTAATTTGAAGATTCCTTGGTCTGACTGTATTATTGCATTTTAGCTATATGCACTAAATAAATATTTTGAGATAAATATTCTGGATTAAACTAAAGTCATTAATAAAGGCATTTTTTTTCCTATAGATGCATACAATAGACACATCCAGACAGCAGAGACGAAAACTTCCGGCTCCACCAATGAAAGGTAACAACAACAATAATAAAAACCTCATTTTTACTCAGCAGATGTGGTCAGACTGTCAGAGCACTAATTGCTCTGAAATAAAGATGAAAAGAATGAGTCAGAAAACATATAAAGATATTAAGCAATTATCAGTTTTGTATATCATCATCATCATCATCTTAGCCATTGTCTATCCATGAGGCCTCTTCCGCATGTTTCCAGCTAATATGGTCCTGAACTTTCTTTTGCCAATTGGGCCTGAAATACTTGCTGATGTCTTTGATCCATCTTGTTTTAGGTCTCTTCCGTGGATGCTTTTTATCAAGTGGAATCCATTTTGTGACTAGATTGATCCACTGCCATCAGTTTTTCTTGCTATGTGATCAGCCCATTTTAATTCTTTTACTCTCTTGATGATATTGTGTACTTTTGTTTGTTCTCTAATCCATGTGCAGATCTTTCTAGCTTGTCTTGTAATGCCGAGCATGTATCTTTCCATGGGTCTGTGTGCCACTCATAGCTTTTGTATCAATTGTGAGGTTAGTGTCCATGTTTCACTGGCACATGTTACAACAGGCAGCACACTGATTGAAAAATTTTCTCTTTAGGCATAGGGGGACTTTGTTCTTGAAAATTATGCTTAGCTTGCTGAATGCCTGCCAACCACATTCAATACACCATTCAATTTCCTTTATTGTATCATCTCCTATTGAAATCCACTGATCAAGATACATATAGTGGTCTACTACATCTAGTTCTTCTTCAGATATAATATTTTTTCTTTCTTTGGTGAATTTATTAAACATAACCTGGATCTTTTTCAGGTTTATTTTTTAAGTCAAATAGTTCTCCCGCTTTGTGTAGCTCTTGTATGTGTCTTTGTAGCTCTTCTGGGTCTTGTGAGAAGAGAACAACATCATCTGCAAATCTTAAATAGGCACCACTGTTTTTTATTCCATCTATTGTCCAGTCTAGTTTGCAAAATACTTCTTCAAGGCAGGCTGAGAAAAGGATAGGTGATGTATATATTATCCTTCTTGGGGTTTTTAACCCATATACAGTATTTCTCAGATAATCATTTTAAACCCGAATAAAATATGTAAGCTATCTCTATCTTGATAAATGGCAGTTTGTAAATCTTATCCTTTGGCTAAATGAATGTATTTTGTACATTAGTATACATTTGGTGCAGAAATCTTATATACATTAACTACAACATTTTTGAAAATGCAATAAAATGTTCAATAAATTTTCTGGGTTTTTATCTTTAAAAAATGTAACTGTCTATTGAAAAGGGTTTATTAATCTTAACTATGTCTTCTTATATAAAATAATACCCAGTTTTGCATAATTCCCCTTATTGGAAATTTTGCTTCTTGTGTTTGTTTACAATATTCATATACTGTATTATACATTTAATTAATTGGACTGCCTTGGAATCAAAACTAATTAGATTTCAAATGTTCAAACATAACTTAGAAAACTAAGTTATATAAATACAAGTTACATAACTTAGAAAAAAGTACTATGTTATTTTTAGGAAATGTCATTTGATGGGGCAGTTTTCCTCATGGAAAATTAATACTATGGAAAATCCATATCTCAGAATTAATTTTTTAAAAATTGAATGGGATCTAGAATGTGTATTTGGGATCAATTAGTAATTAATGATAATTTTTAAAATCCATTTAACACTTTAAAAGACAGATGTTATTTGGTCAGCTCAGTGACAGCATTTGCAATTAAAACATCTGTTGATATCGCAGCTTGGATTTGCAGCATTTTAATTTAATCTACTATAAATGATTATTAAATGTTATGATATAAAACTTCCTACAATTAATTTTTGTAATCCTTGTATTGAGGATAAATCAATTTGATAGGCAATGGAATAAAGAACTAAAGATTCCTATTCCCCAGACTATGGGTGGAAAAGTGTTAATGCAAGAAACTTCTTAAATTATTCAACAACCACAACAACAAAATTTTGGATTTAATTTTTCTTTTTCTCTTTTTTATATTAAAACATTCACTAAACATTCCATTTATTCTTACTCATGATTTATTTCCATCATATACTGCTACTGCTGACCAAACAATATCAGCCCTCAACTCCATAATAGTGCAAAACATTGGTTTATATATTCTCTTCCCAATATAAAACTGCACTGCATTTCTCAAATTCAGTTAACAAAAACCAAACAAACAAATCAACATTTAAAACACATTTTTATTTTTCCTTTGAAAATGAATCTTTATTAATACAACTTATCTGATTCTTTTGGATACTATTTGATCCAGTTTGGAACACTAGAGATATATTTCCAATTTCTTTCTCCAAGTAGGCAGCTGTTAAAAAGGAATATGATCAAATTCTAGTTCCTAGGAAGTTTCTTAATCTTATTTATTTATTTATTAGTCAATCATATTTCTACACCATGATTCTATGCAATTTACAATTTAAAAAATATATAAAAGTCCTTTAGCCAAAATCATTTTTAACAATCTGAAATAGTTATTTCAAATATGACTTTCCAGATTTCAAAGTGTTTCCTATCCTAATATATATCTTTGAAACATGCTTTTGTTTGAATGCAACAACAATAAAACTGAGTTTTTAATAAAATTAGTGAACTGGAAATTTAGGTAGTCCTTAATTTACAACAGTTTGTTTTAATGACTGTTCAAAGTTACAACAGCACTGACTTATGATTGTTTTTCATGGTCACGTGATGAAAATTAAGATGCTTGACAACTGACTCATATTCATGATGGTTGAGTGTTCCAAGCTCACATGGTCACTTTTTGTGACTTTCTGATAAGCAAAGTCAATGGGGAAGTCAGATTCACTTAACAATCGTGTTACTAACTTAACTTAACTTAACTTCAGTTATTCACTTAACAAGAAAGGTGATAAAATGGGGCAAAACTCACTTAACAACAGTCTTGCTTAGCAACAAAAATTTTGGACTCAACTTTGGCCGTAAGTCAAGGGCTAACTGAACTATATTTTTTATTAATTCAGCTATATGATACAGGCATTTAAAATTTTTGCAACCATAATAAATTTTCCCTTTGGGATGTTTATTAAGCTGGTCACACATTTTCTTCTTTCAAAAAAATTGCTTATATTGTTTTCCAGTACCAATACAGAAGCTCAATAAATAATGAATATTTACTAGCACAAAGAACAATGATACCAATATTTTAGCATAAAGTATCAGAGGAAGGAAAATACTGTTTAGAGTTTGAAGCAAAGGAGAAAAATATTTACATACATGTAATAGTTGTATAAGTTAAAATGTTTGTCCTATGTAAAAACATATAAATAAACATGTTTTCATTTTATGTTGAACAATTGCATGATTAGAAAAGCTACTGTTATTCCTAATCTGCCTTTTCTCCATATTTGTTTATAGTAGGGGCTGCTATTTGTGCAGTTGTCAATTTTAATATATCATCAGAAACATCTATACAAGAAAAATGTCAGGCGAACACTAAGACTGAAAAATTTAAAGTCTTTTAGTCATGTCTAGCAGTTACATATTTTGCCTCTACCGTCAATATGTTTGAATGCAAATATAATTGTGAAAGAAGCTGGCAAATGTTTTTCAGGTGAAAACATGGATGCATCTCCAGTTATTCCTATTAGAACATATAACAGGAATTTCATACTCCAAGGATCTCTGACACAAAGAACAAAAAAAGAAAAAAAGATCACTGCCAAGGATTTGATGGTAAGAATTAAATAAAAATTTAGCACCTCATTCCCAGATACTAGGAGGAAAGAGATAAATGAAAAAAAAAAGTTACAAAAATATTTTAATGCTATCCAGTCATGTCAAGTCATCTGTCCTCTCCTTCTTTATTAGAGGAATAATGATAGATTCCATTCTGATATGCTGTCTTGGAAAACCTTACAGCTGTATTCAATATAAAAGCTGAATAATTAAACAATAAACATAGTTAGACCAAATATAGTCCTCAGGTTTCATATTATTCAAGCCAGATACTTTGATGCAAATTTTGAATTTTATAATTCATTTATCAGCAAATCATATTGAATTAAACTGAAAAATTCATTAAAATATTGTTTTATAAGAGGGATTTTGAGCCACATCATTCAAATAGCAGGATATCATAAAATTGGTAAATCATGTATCTAAGTGACATTTTGGTTCACTTGTTGGGAGAAAAAATGTAGTGGTTGAATAATATTTTATCTTTGTGGTAGTTTTTTTTGAAAGTTTAGTTATGCTTCTGTTTAGAACTGATCAACATCTATTCTTTGCATAGATTGAATTAACTAGTATAAGGATCAAAATCAAAGCATAAAATATACTAGATGAAACCAGAACAATCTAAGGAGTAGTGTTATGAATGATAGCAAACTTAAAAAGCAGTAATACAGTTTGGCAATGAGAAGAGTCCAATCAGCAAGTCCCAATGATGGTACTCCAATTTCATTAATACAATAACTTCAACATAAATGGTTCATAGGCTGTCAAACTAAAACAGATGCTGCTCAGCAACTCTCTTGCCTTTACTGAGGATATTTAAATCCTAGTGACCTAGAAACTCTACCCAAGATTATCTGAAAGTGAGTAATATTTTCAAATCTCTTATTCTAAAAGAGACCCTTACTTTCAAGTAGTTCTAGGATATTAATATAATATATATATTATAAAGATTTTGGCATTTTATTTGCTAGATGGCTCCCTAAGTCTAGACCTTCTGGTGGCAGCTCGTGTAGGCCTCAGAGTGAACCAACAACACTGAATCAAAAGGAATCAAAAGTCCTTTTAGGATAGAGGTGTCAAACTGTCAGCCCATGGGCCAGATGTGTCATCGGGAAACCACGCCCACCGCATTGCTGGCAATGGTGAAAAAGCTCTGATACGTTGCGCGACGTTACGTGATGTAGTGAGTTTGACATGTCTGTTCTAGAACATCTCTTGGGGTTAATCAGATAAGCTATTCTGATAGGATGTTTCCTATTTGTCTTCAAGATTTTCTTCCAGAGTATTCAAACCTAAGAGGTTCTAAATCCTCTTTAGAAGAGAATCTTTCAGGAAGGGCATGATACTATATAAATAAGACAAAAATAAAGAGAATATCCAAAAGAATGGCCAATCTTACTTGCAACTGTCTTTTAAAATATCTTCCACATTTTTATTGTTTTATTAAATATTTCTTCATATCTTTTCTATTTTAGGAACCAACTATAGGGTCTTCTGCAATGTATTAGAATTACAAAATTCTACTGCCAATGACACACTGCCTAAGGCTGCACACTAGAGTGCCTTTATATAACAGCCATTATATACATCCAGTAAAAAAAAAAGATTCTTAAGAACCTATAATGCCTCAGTAATAGGGCTTTGTTTGGATACCTCGTTGAGAAAGATATTCAAGATGTTCAAGTCTTCACTATTGTGGTCTGCTCATCAAAACTCTGCCTTAAAGTTCTAAAGAGACTCCAGGAAGTACACTAAGGTTCAAGGCTTCATATTTTAAGATGCATTTTTATTCATTCTATCAATTATGCTAAAGGACATTACCTTTAGATACAGTCTGTTTTTTATTATTCTCAGTTCTTCAATTAATATTAGTTATTGTCTCATTTGAAGGTAAAAGAAAATTTTAAATTCTATTCTATTCTGTGATACATATTTCCTGGGATCTTACTGTTCAGATATTCAGTCATTTATGACATTATCAGAGCAATAAGAATTCCAGGAATAACTGGTAATCCTGAAATAAACTGTGGAACAGGATGGCCAGAAAGGAGGTTGAAAGCATTAAAAAAAAAAGCATTTTCCATTTGTAATTTCTACTTGTATTCCACTATGGCATATTCTGCTAGTTATCATACAAATGTCCTAACTTCATATCAGTAGAAGAATGTATTTGCTGATTAAATATACTTTCATCTAAATTAATTGAAATCTCTTCCATCCTCAAGAAATAGTGAAGCCAGTTGCAGACCCAGCTGTATTCCCACCTGAGATAGGTTCTAATCTCACCTGTTAGAACTCAAAATCTAGCATTTTAAAATCTATTCCAAAAGGCAGGTTTCAAATCAATATGCATTATTCCATCTCCAGTTATAGAAACTTATTCAATTATAAAGAATATGTAATCATTCTATTAACGTTTCATATTTCTAAAAGTGTATAATCATGTGTTTGAAGTCCAGAATGTGAGAGTGCCCTTTAGTGCATATATAATCTTGGCTCTTTTGTTTATATCAAAGCTTGTAAAAACAGATTTGGAAGCTCAGCCTCTACAAAAATAATTTGAAGAAATGGTTTGGCTTAAGTATCTTTAATTCCCAAAACATAGGCAAGTGAGACATTTCATTAATTCCCCTGGCTGGTATTACTAAAACTGGCCAATGGTTTATATGTTATCAGCTGCATGAACAAAAATCTAGACAACAGAATTGAGCATATTGGAAGTTTCAAAACAACAAATAATAATAATTTAAATTTTGCCTGAATGCATACAAAGATAGTTTCCATGTTTGGCTTTAGAGTCAGTCATGATGTCTACATGATTGCACTTTTGTGCTCTGTTTTCATAAGAACTTATATAAATAGCACACCAATTAACACTTTAAAACATTCATTTCATCCAGAAAGCATGAATTAGCTAGGAAAAATTCAAATCTTCATCACTTTTGAAACGTCTTTAAAAAGAGATTTAGCAGTACTGAAAACAATGTCTAGAAATTAGCCCTGCTGATTTTAATTGGAGCTACTTCTGACTACAATAAGTCTAGGACATTATTATACAACTATAGGACTGCACCATTGATAGTTCCATTAATTTTGTTGTGCATTTCCTTGTCACTTGTCTAAAATTTCTATGGTATTTGGTTGTTTGGTTTTTCTTTTTTCCCAGACAAAATTATGTCATATACAGCATGCAACTGTTGTTTGTCTTTTGTGGAATAACTAATCCGATGGCAGGATTTTGTCTACAATATAGAGATATCCATATAGTGTATAACCTAGTAAATGTTCCTCAGCAAGATTGGGCTCCTATACTATTGTAAATTACTCACATTCAATCCATACTTTTTTCAGTGTTTGTGCAAGATTGACTCCCACTTTCTGCAGATCTATGTTAATTGAATGAAATGACAGGTGGTTTACATATTTATTCAATTACACTAATAGCTAATATTGTGTGTGTAATATTGAATCCAACATGACTAATTTTAATAGATAATATATTTTGGCTTTTTTCTGTTAATGTGATATAAAGAAAATGAGTATGGAATAGAATGTTCCATAAGAGGCATGAAAAGCAACTACTGTGTTTAAAATTTATATTATTCAGTCTTTTTTGAGAAAAATGTTTCCTGTTTAGGCATTGCAAAAAAAAAAAAAAAAAAGAGGGGAAAAAAATCCCTCCCTCAATGTATACCATTCCGGTTTTTACAAAACTTTACTTGTGCCAAATGTACAAAGAATTAACTTACTGTTTAAAAGAAATAATAAAATGTGTATGTTACAACATAAAATAATTATTCTGTCGTGATCTGGTTTCAATCTTTAGTATTAATGTTTATATTTAGATTTTTTTTATAAAAAATATTTTAATGTCAGAACAAATTAAGACAATATGATTCAGTCTGAGTTGAAATTAAGGCTTGCCTTGCTGTTATCTGCATTCTTGTCAAGAATTCTTGTCAACAGAAATGACAAAAGAGTAAAAGAAATGATTTATGAAAAACAGGTTTTTGAGCTCATGATATTTACATATTTTCTGATTCAGTGCTCAATGTTTAGAAATATAAATAATTTACTAGACTCACATAAAGATTTAATGTATCCCATGTATCCATTCTATGTACCTATTCCTTCATATGTTGGGTGACCATATTAACACAGGAACATTTTCAGATATATACCAAACTATTTTATCCATTATTGTCCCTCCAAAGCCCTGATAGTTCTTACTAACAAAGCCACAAAATCGTATCAATCATATTTAGGCTGCAGATTGATGCACTGAAAACTTGATTTTTCCATTCTATTCTTTTCACTGTCCAATGCAATACATGATGAAGAAGTTGCAAATAAGAAACCGAGCAATCGGTTTGAAGAGTGTAAAAGATACTGCGTGTAAGTTAAGCTGTTCAACTAAATTGAAGCTCCCTCAATTTTTTTTCTCAAGAACTTCTTTTTCTCGAGAACTTCCCCAATATGACCAGCGTGTTCCTGCAAAGGTAAAATATCCCTGTCAAAGGGATGCTCAAGAAGATTAGCTGGTTTGCCAAGCCTTTTACTCTCATTTTGAGGCAATAAGGTTTCTGGTTCTTACATCAGAGTTTGGAAACTTTGTAACCAAGACCATCTGATATAAATTTCTTGTCAATGGTATTTGGTTCTTGGGTTCTTGTATGTAATAGGAACTTGTTTCCTACTTTTCCAAATCATGAAGCTGCTCCAGTACTACCACTCCTCAATTGTCATGTTGAAGAGAATTAAACAGTGTGCTCACAGCTAGTCTGGTTTTGGATCCAACTTGTATAGACTTCATTTCTGTAAGGTTTGTATACAGATTGAATCTGTACCTAAACTCTGTTACTTCAGAGGTCATCCTGTTTTATATGTCAATATTTGTAACAAGCCTAAAACAAATCAAAATAACATTACATCAACGGCTATTTTATCAGTTTATTTATTCATTTTTAATTACATACTTAAGCATAAAACAAAGCATAGCATATATTAGCTATAACATTTTCCAATTTTTTTTTAGCTGAGCTATATGGGAGATTTTCCAAATTAATATGAGTTATAACTGTTGTTGTTTATTGTATAAACAAATGGGTTCTCTGAAGTTAAATCATATTAATATAATATCTTATTATGTGCTCCTTATATATACTGAATTCATAATCCATTTTAAATGGTAATTATAGTCAACCAGCTTGAAGCATTAAGAGGTTACTGGGATTGAATCCATGCTTCCCTTTGCTTCACAAATAGCGTACTGAATACAGCATGCAACCCATCCATTTGATAGGTATGCATCTGCCTTTGGTAACGTCCAGATAAGTATGGTTTACAACAGAGGTCCCCAACTTTTTGGGCACCAGGGACTGGTTTTGTGGAGAAAGGTTTTTCTGAGGACCAGAGGGGGCATGATTTTGTGTGCTGCCTGCATCTCACAGATGGGGCTTTGTTTTTTTATGCGGACCGGTTGCTGGCATGCTGCGCACCCCTGATTTACAAGATTCTTGAAATGGGATCAAATCCTTAACAAGCAAAAATGCCTTTTCTTTCTTTCCTCCTACATACAGTTTACATATAGAATACCCTTTTAGCTTTAATTACAAGTTTTGTATTTAAATGCTTATCGTTTGTGTATGAAATAGCTTGCAGCTAAGGAGCCAGAAGAAAGGTGGTGGTATTTCAACAGAGAAAAGCAACTATGATTTTTTTTTTTCTTTTCATTAAGAAGACTCAAAGTAGCCATTCATCATCTTGAGCTGCTTCTTGTTCCTGTAGAGCACTGAGTATCAGAGCTGAACTGCAGCACACAGGCCTCAACCTCTTTTGTCCAAACTTGAGTTGCCTCTTCCCAAATCGACCAATTGGTCGAACGCCACGGCCCACATACCAAAAAGGATTGATCTCAGAATCTAAAATTCAAAGTAGTGAATAAAGATGGTTATGTTAATACTTCAATCAGTTAACAGTCATTGTAAAAATAGTATTGTGTTCACTGATGACAACTTTTGTTTTTAAGAGACATTCAATATATAAAGTTAAATAAAGGAAAATACACACTTTCAGTCTTGCATAGGATAAAGGGCTTCAAAAACAGTTATATTACTATAGATTCATCTTAAAACTAATTACCACTTAGTTCATAATGGAAGCCCAATCTGTTATTATTATTAATTGTCCAGAAAATTGCCCAGTATCCCAACTAAATTAGACTTTTTTCTGTAGTCCATTTAGAGTAACAACCATGCATGCTTATGAGGGGTGTTGGATGCTATAGTTTAGTTTAAAGAACAGAATATTTTCATTTAATAGTATTAGGGAAGAAAATTGTTATAGCTCTGAAATTAACTCAGGTTTATTGAGTTAATTATATACTTGAAAAATACAAATAGTCCTCAACTTACACCAGTTCATTTAGTGACTGTTCAAAGTTATAATGGCACTGAAAAAGTGATATGATTTTTTTTCATACTTATGATTGTTACAGCATTCTGATTATCATGTGATCAAAATTAAAATGCTTGGCAACTGACTCATATTTGTGATGGTTGCATTGTCCCACATCATGTAATGACCTTCTGAAAGCTGCTGACAAGCAAACTCAATGGGGAAAACCAGATTCACTTAACAACCTTGTTATTAACTTAACTGCAGTGATTCACTTAACAACTGTGGCAAGAAAAGTAGTAAAATGGAGCAAAACTCACTTAAGTGGCTGTCTCTCTTAGGGACAAGAATTTTGGACTCAATTGTGGTCATAAGTTGAGAACTACCTTTAATTGTACAACTAGCTGGTACGCTTCAGAATTCATTAGTTTTTATTAAAAAAATGGAATTATCTTGACATTACTGACATATTTAGAAGTCCTACTATATAGAAACTTATAACAATAAACTTACAAAATGCTTCTCTACTATGGCTGAGAACTACTCCTATCTCTTTGTTATTGATCAAAAGGCTGGAAAGTTTGAGATCATCATTATATTTATATTTTCAGAAATGTTCATATTTTTCTAAATTCCAGTTGACCATATCACTTTAATGCAACATGAAAGTTTGATTTGACTGAGCCACTACTTAAAGTTTTATTTATTTATTAAATAGATTTATATGGCTACAAAATTCATATTTATACTTCATTTCATGTAAGATTCATATAAACATCAATGAACTAACACCAATCCTGATCCCAACCCCACCCTAAGCCTTAATCCTTATCCCGATCCTATTCTATCCCCAACCCTATAAAACTCAATAAAATGTTTGAAAAAAAATGAACTAACATTAAAATAATTATCTGCAAAGATATACAATTAAAGCAGCCACAATTGCAGGCACAAATATTTTAGATTCCGCAGTCTGGCATTCTGCAAGAAGCATGGATCCTCTGCAACATTCCCAAGTATCCATTTGAATTAATGTATTACATTAATACATACGCAGTATAACCCCCATTGAATATTTAAACTCAATTTATATTAAGGAAGTTACTGCAACAAAAGGATTTTTCCAAAACCAATCATGATTGTTAAACATGGTGATTGTAAAGTGAATGCCACAGTCATTAAGCAAATCCATTGTTCATGTTTTGTTTTATGTCCAAAACTAGAATTACATGCCAGTTTCCTACAAAAATAGTGCAAATAGTCATGACTGCAAGTAGCTGTAAATGTGGGCCAGTTGCCATCTGCCAATATGCAATCACATGATTGCGGGGAGAGGAGGCTGTCAGAATCTGGATCGTAAGTAGGATTTTTAAGTGGTCGTTAAGTGACCAATAGTAAATTGAGTACTACCTGTAGAATGATATTAAGTGAATTGATTCAGACAGTAGTAAATGGTCAGGCATTTATACTGTCGGAATCAATTCATTTAATACTTTCTGCAGGTAGTTGGAAGTATATCTCAACACTGCCTTTCAAGAGGCAGAAGATATACTAAAGAGGATATCTCTAGGTTGACTGGTTCACAATGAACAGGAAGTTACACATTCAGGTAGGTAGGTCTAGGTCAGGGCTTTTCAACCAGTGGTACGGGTACCACCTGTGGTACATTGGCACCTGGCAGGTGGTACGCGACCATCCTAGAAAAGTGGTAGCAGGGAGGGGAATGAGCTGAACTGGTGGCAGCACCGCACAAGCTTGAATGAGAGATGGCTGGAGCTGCAGGGCTGTCAGGGCTCAGCGGAAGCGCCAGGATCAGTGTTGCTTTCCAGCTGATTGATGCTTCTTCGAGACTGTCAGGGCTCAGTGGAAGCACTAGGATCAGCACCAGAGTCCAGCTGGAGCTCGGAGCTGATCTTGGTGCTTCTGCTGAGCCCTGAAGAAGCATCAATCAGCTGGAATGTTGCCTTATCTCCATTTGTGATTTACATTCAGATGTGGCAACGGATTCATATTTATGACGGTCACTGTTCTGTGAGATCCAACAGTCACAGTGTCCCAGGGTCATGTGAAGTGACCAAAACCTGCTACAACCACCCATCAGACAGGGGGAATAAAAACCAAACATCCACCCCACCCCCACTGCCAATCCTCAACAGAAATGCTCACAGCAATGGAAACCTCAGACAGGAGGAAGAGTGCCAGGTGTCTTGCTCAGGTGTGGCTTGGGGGACACTTTTTTCAGTGCGGTTGTAACTTCAAATAGTCACTAAGCGAACTGTTGTAAGTCGAGGACTACCTGTACTTCATCACTTTTTTCCTTTTTTGGGGGGGTCATCAAGTTTTTGACACCCTGCTAGGTGACCGGTGGTACTCGGATATTGCTGTATCCTAAAAGTGG